AAAAAGAAAGAATGAAAAAGAGATGATCATCATAAGAACATGATGATCAATAGATTGGTAGATATATATGTATATATATTGCAGGAACAAAAGAAATAACATACGTATATATGAAGTTAGCGTCATGTCGTAACATCGATGGATGCTAACAGAGGGTGCTCGGAAATCGTGATTCTACATGAAAAACACCGTTCTTACTGCATGAATCGCAAATGAGAAATTCGATAACTTTCATCCAAATTCGGTCGAGTTCATTCAGTAAGGGATGTGCTTTTCATGCGGAATGACGATTTCCGAGCACCCTCAGCAGAGAGATATGTGCTAAAGTGTATGTAGTAAAGATTTCCATGACACCATCACTCTCAGGGAAAGACGCATGTGTTTATTAAATGTCTGTAAAAAATCATAAATGAAATTCGTGTTGGTTAACTTTTTGATATAACCAATTTTTTTCAAATTATTTAATAAGCAGAAGTTCAAGATTGGATATCGACATTTCTGATACGAGCTCTCTTTTCTTTTATTGAATTTTATAAATTGAATAGATTCCAGGAAATCATACGAGTCTTATGATTCTACTTTTTTCGCCTCGGAGAATTTGGTTCATATCCAGATAACTTAATTGTAGTATTGTTTACCTCATTTGTTTTATGCACATGATTTTTGTATAACGATGGCGACATGTTGAATAACGACTTTCAATACGATTGATAAACCACTGAACAAGTCAAAGAAAACGTCAGATTTATTTGTATTGATTTATGACGTGAGGTAATTATGTATGTGTGTCAGTGAAACAATTATCTATACTCACATCCTGATTTGAAATGGTTTCAAGTCAGGAGTCTCTCTTACATTTCTTTGACAATAGTTACAATTTAAAACAAAACCGATATATTTATTACATTTTCCATTAATTCAAATTATCAAACAAGAAAAAAACATCAACTATTTATCTGTTCATAATCATAGATTGTCTAATGATTCACTTTGCATTTCTGGAATTAAAAATCTCAAATGACTATCATCATTTACTTTAACAACAGATATTCCATGTTCATTTAATAGAATTTCATTAATTGCTGTATTATTTTGTTTAATAAGCCATGCATATTTTGGATTACTTTGTAAATAATATTGTAATATAGATTGTATTAAATTTGCATGTGTAAAAATACCAATTGATATTTCACGATTTTCTTCTAGACTTTGATTTTTTGCTTGTTCAATAATCGGTTCTAGGTAAGCCAAAGCACGTTTTTGTACCATTCGTTTTGACTCACCATTTGGAGGACAGAATTCAAAATGTAATTCATTCCATTGTTGTATTACTTCTGGAGTAAAAGCTAACGCTCGACTCATACCTTCCCAACTACCTTGAGATTGCTCTAGAAGTTCACTTGAAATGATTAATTTTGATATGTCAATATTCATAGTTTTTAATGCAATTTCTGCTGTTCGTTGTGCACGAACAGCTGTTGAACATAGAATAGAATCAAATTTGATATTTTGATATTTTAAACGTTTGCCTATGAATCAAAAAAAAACAAATAACAATAAAGAAATATGTCTATGATAAAACTCTGCCTAATAACATTGCTTGTTCATTGCCAAGTGGACTTAACATACATGGAATATTCTGACCGCAAATATGAGTGGAAGCAGCATTGATTGCTGATTCTGCATGTCGGATAATATAGAGACGAACTTGAAAACGTTTAGGTGACATTATTCAATATTTTCGACTATACATAAAAATCAATTTTTCTGTAATTGAAATTTAAAATTGTACATACTTTTGTGTAACCGTTTGTTGTGATTATACTTATTGAAATAAAATGAGAATGGAATTCTTGTTCTACATTGTTATATACAAAAAACAAAGCATAATTGCCGAATATCCAGATGACATCACTATTTTCATTGAGTCATTCGTTAACTTCCATAAAAACTCGCTGAAAGAAAAATGTCTACTGAATAATGATATCATGAATAAATAGAAAAAGCTCTGAGAAAGAAATCAATAAAAAAAACACTCGAGACAGAACAAGAAAAGAAAAATCAAAATATATGATACATTGTTTCAGAATGTCTTATGTTTTCGTTGATTCTGTTGTATCATTTGTCAAGATTCTGACTCGAGACTGTCTTATGGCAGAACATAAAATTTTTCATTCTTGATTTTTTTTTCAAACAGGGTGTGGGTGCGGGTGTGGGGTGTGCGTGGGTGTGGGTGGGTGTGGGTTGGTGTGGGTGTGGGTTGGTGTGGGTGTGGGTGTGGGTGTGGGTGTGGGCGGGTGTGGGTGTGGGTGTGGGTGGGGTGTGGCTGTGGCTGTGGCTGTGGGTGTGGGTGGGTGTGGGTGTGGGTGTGGGCGTGGGTGTGGGATGTGGGTGTGGGTGTGAGTGTGGGTGTTGGTGTTGAAGGAGAGTATACCCACACCCACACACCCCACATCCACCGACACCCGTACCCACACCCACACCCACGCCCAAACCCACACCCACACATCCCACACCCACCGACACCCATACCCACACCCACACCCTATTGTTGAAAATGGCGTGGATCATTTGAGAACCTTCCCTCGTAAGAGATTTTATGTCTCCAAATAATTCATATTCACTATTTAACTTTAATTTTAGTGTACTCATTCTAGCAGTATAGCTAATATTAAGAAGTAAGCTTTTCAAACTGTATAGATCCGTAGTGAGATCAAGTGAAAACAAAAATACCATTAACCTTTTCGTGCAACTCATGAAAAATTGATATAGGGATTCCTTACCACCACATCATGAGAAATGTTGTGCAACGAATCTAATAAGAAACTAGTCTCACTATTGAAGTGGGTGAGCTTCCGAAGCATTCATAGACTTATGTGACCTCGCAGTCGATTACGGAATTGCATATTATTCAGCAAACGTTTTTTTCGCGTAAATATTCATAAACATGTCATAAGTTTTATTTATGTGTAAACGAGGCTGTGGCTGATAATCAGAGACACGAGGGAAAAGCCGATTTATTTTCTGTGAATTAGAGTACAAGTGAAGAAAAGTTCCACATCCACACCCCATATCTACACCCATACTCGCACGCCACATTCGTGCCTATACCAATGCCCACACCCGCACCGATACGCGCAACTACACCCGCATCCACAACCTCACGGACGCCC